AGCATGCTAGGTAACAGCATTACAAAAATATGATTTGTTCGTAGATTATTGCCCTGGCCTGCAACATAGAAATGCAGATGGATTGTCTCACTACACACAGAGAGAAAGAGAACCTGACTGCCCTGACCTCCTACTGTGCAATGTGAAAGAGTATGAGATTCTTCTGGTATATGAACATCTTGGGAGCTTTGAGAACAACTAAAGGTCCAGATCTAGCACAGACACTTCTTGCTGTGAAGAAAGGTAAATCACGACCAGATCTGATTGACGAACACAGCACAGTTACATTGCCTATGATACTTGTACAAGAAGTTACTAGTTCAGAAAGATGTGCTCTACTGTTATTAGCAAATAGGCAGTGCTTCTAAGCCTGTACCAGAGCTTTGAGGCACACAATTTTTCAGATGTTTTATATTACAAAGACTGGAAGGTATCAATGTGTTACATGCATAAGTGATAATGTTCATCTATGATTCTTCTGGCTGTGTTTGAGTTAAGATTCAGCACTGGTTTGAAAACTGTACAGTGTGTGCTACACAGAGGAAACTCCAACATAGAATTGTTGATTTACCTATGCAAAAAATATTCCTTCTCTTGTAGATATAACAAAGTAATCCATATATGCTCCTGATCATTGATTACTTCACAAAATGGGATTAGGCTTATCTCTTGGTTGACACATTTGCACAGTCCATGGCTTATGTGCTGGTGGAACAGTGGATAGCCTGGTTTGAAGCACCTGAAGACATACATATAGTTCAGGCAGTTAACTTTAGTAGCCAACTGTTTGAGTTGTGTTAAGTGTTGGGTGTTATGAAGACACACATACTTCATCTTATCACCACAGTTTAGTGGTTTATTGAAAGAAGTGATATAGCCTGTCAAGAGTTTTCTTGCCAAATTTGTTAATCCCAACTAAACCAACTGGGATATGTACTTACCTTTTGTCACATAGGTGAACTATACAACTGAGCATCAACAGGTTGTTCACTAACTATGCTTATGCTTGGCCAAGAAGTCTTGATTCCTTGTAGACCTGATGTATGGTCCTTCATCTAGGTCAGACATCCCACAATAATACATGTTGTTAAAGTATGCATTAGTTGGTCCATGCAAGTTTGGATGTAAACAACTAGGAAAGGCTGACATACAAAAGAATAGGTGCAGCAATAAGATAGTGAAGGAACAAATGTACCAAAGTGGAAATTAGATGCGGCTTTAGTATGTGTCAGCAACACATAAGCTTCTTGGCCTTGGCTGGACAGGACCTCATCTGTTGCTTCGACAAGTTGATCCATTGATGTCCAAGCTATAACAGCCAAAGGACACGGTAATAACACTTGAACATATGGTTGGAACATTGCAGTTATTAAAATAAAATAACAAATTTACTTTTACTACATTTTTGAATTAATAAGCCATCTCTGTGTTAAAGGGTTTGTGTTTGTAGATATTATGTGACTTTAATTTCAAGACCTGAGAAACTTCAATATTTGATTTTATTGCAAAGCAAGATGAGGGATTTGATTCGTTTGCTAGGGCTGAGATTTGATATTTCCTTGTAATAACAATTTTGTTACACTTTTGTGCCATTCTTCTTCCTGATGTTTAAGTACTAACTGTGTATAGAAGTACTCTACATAAATAAAAAATTTCATTTGATTTTAAATTTAATGCAATAGGAAAAATATGGCATGTAATTTCCCATTAGTTTCTATCTCCTTGTACTTTACTCTCTGTGTGTGTACAGGTTTCAGATAACACAACACGAAAGACATTAAGTTCATCTCATTCTATCAACCTTTGTTCATCGAGGAGATGATACCCGTTTTGCTCATGGAATCATGGCTGTAATGCTGCATGTTGTTCAAAAAGGAAAAGAGCTAGTGTCCTTCAATGGTATTTCAGGTGCTATTTCCATGTTACAGCTTTCCCTACACTTGAATGACAATGATCAATCATATGGGTAGCACTAATCACTTTGGGTAAATGCTTCATTTCTTCTGGAGCAAGGAACCTTGGAATTAAACAATCTGATATATGATCTTGGAAAGTAAGAGATCTTAAGAAAGATCCCGTGTTTAACAACACCAAGCATATACACAATATTTATCAATTAATAAAGATTGTTCATTTTGTGCATCACCTCATGCCCAGTCTTTCCTTGTTTCTCAGACTCAGTTTTCAGTATTATTTTGCATTAACTATCCTTATTGAATCTCTTCTTATTCTCCAGAACTATCCTATTACTCTTAAGTTAATTCAGTTTGACCTGAGAATACTACAATTCTCCATTCGTGAGTTTGTTACATATAATTGAGGAAGACAGTTAATTGTATTACATATGCTTGTTATTTAATAAATTAGAGCCAATATTTTAACATATTTTACTTTTTTTTAATCGTGTCAATATTCTTGTGACTTTTCACACTAATAATTCATTGGATGTTGTATTATGGCTAATAGTCGTTTGAATTCATTTGAATAATTTCACCTTTTATAAAAATAAAGGCTAATTAAGTAAATCTATTATAGACTGTGGAATTGGGAGCTCATGATGGAACTAACATCAATACTGATAAATTTGTGAATAGCACTTATAATTTAGTAACTAGTGGATGACACACCCTAATAATTGCAGCCTATGACAATTTGCAAACAACTTTTCCTCCAGAGTATAGGAACAAAAACTTTTTTTTACTTATAACCATATTGTGTGTGTGTGTGTGTAATTTGTCATAAAAGCCTGGCACAAAAATAGCCCTCAGTGACACACACACACTGAAATCATGAAAGACGACACACACAGTGGACAATACTAAAGAGTAAAATAATGCTATTTATTACACATCTCTAGTTTAGAGCTGCAATGGACAAATTATGGAGACTAAACTTTTCCAAAATTCTCTTTTCTGCAATCACTGCATTATCAATCTATCTTTTGTGTATGTAATTCGAACAAATGATTACATTATACATTTTTTTGTAATTCAGCAACTACAGTGTAGCTACTTTATGTTATTAAACTCATTCATATTTAGTGGATGGTATCTTCTGTATTTGACTATTTTGGGTCAAAGATAAGTTCCTTAATTTATAATGCTAAAATTCAGGGTTCAATTCCCCACAGTGGACAGAGAGCAAACTATCCATTTTGTAGCATTATGCTAAAACCCAACTACAGTTTAAATGGGCAAAGGTTGACCCTGTAGTAGAGTTCTGGATTTCAGAGCTGGCATGCCAGGTTTGAATCCATGCAATACAAAATATTCCATACACTTTAAGCTGTGGGTGCATTATAAAAATGACAGTCAATCCCTTAATAAGGATGGTGGGAGGAAGGGTGCTGCTGACTGGTTGCTTTCACTCTGATCAGTAGTTAAAAATCTCTGGTGTAGCAGCAGATAGCCTTGGTAAGTTTGCCATAAATACAAGTAATTACCCAAAACCTTTATCAAAAAGATAGTCAATGTAAGGTTGAATATAATTAGGTGAAAAACAAGATAATAAGGATTCAAAACTTGAAAAAAAAAATTCAGATAGATTATTATAAAGGGTCAAAATTACTCTAATATGCTGAGATACTGAAATGCAGGAACATCTTGGGGCTTTGCCCCTCCCAGGTCCCCCCATCAAAGTTCTGCCTCGAGACAGAGATTGTGATTTTGCACTTTCATTGTTCACAATTTTCCTGAAAGCTGTTACCAAATGTAGATGGCTCTGTAATTCATATTAATATATGCAGAATTCTCTTAATATTATATAATTGTTTTCTAAAAATATCTTTTAAAAAGAGATGGAAAATATTGAAATTTCTTATGTACAATGTGACATAGTTCATATTACATAATGGTTTGTGTGATGTTATATTGTAATAAAATTGATAATAATTTTTACTAAATCTGCATTTGCTGTTCCTTTACGAGTTTCCAGTAAGAAGAACACCTTAACTGCACAGTTATACACTGGTGATGAAGAGCTTTACTCACTATCAGAGCTGATCATGTTAACTTTATTGTGATCTAATGTCACACAAACCACCGATCTGTAAATCACATTATATCCCAACAGTTATACACTGGTGATGAAGAGCTTCACTCACTATCAGGGCTGATCATGTTAACTTTATTGTGATCTAATGTCACACAAACCACCGATCTGTAAATCACATTATATCCCAACAGTTATATGCTGGTGATGAAGAGCTTCACTCACTATCAGAGCTGATCATGTTAACTTTATTGTGATCTAATGTCACACAAACCACCGATCTGTAAATCACATTATATCCCAACAGTTATATGCTGGTGATGAAGAGCTTCACTCACTATCAGGGCTGATCATGTTAACTTTATTGTGATCTAATGTCACACAAACCACCGATCTGTAAATCACATTATATCCCAATAATAATGGCCAATATTACGAAAACAATTATCTAACTTACTTAAATATAAGGTACAATGGTCAAGTAATATCAATAATCTTTTAATCATACATGTACATCAAATACCTTACACAGCTCAACATACTGATCACCAAAAATACTTTGTCTCAATATATCTTCTTACATGCCTAGTTTTATACCAATGTTAACAGGTGAGAAATCTCACTTAAACAACAACACAAAAACAAAATCTTATTAGAGTATCAAAAAAATTTTACTAAATTTCACACAAAAAAAGTTTCATTGGAGCTAATACTTATTATTTAATTCTAGCACGGTTTATATATATGTATATATATATATATATTTAAAACAAAAAATATCAAACAGAATGAATGTTTCTGTTTCACAATTAAAAAGTTTTAATTTCATTATACTCAACCATCCAAATTTATAATGAACGGTGGAGAAAGACAGACAATCAAAAATCACCATGAAACACTGAAAACATAAGGGATGCTGGAACTACTAAAATTGTATAAAAAGCTTGTGATCCCATGAAATTATTCAGTTCATATTCTTTCCCATTTCTCAATCTTCTATTTCATCCTAGGTTATTAAGAAGTGGAAATGCTAAACTAATATTGTTACCAAACAGTTCTGAGAATATAAGAGAAAAAGCATTAGTACAACAGCAGCTTTTGGCTCTGTTTCGGGAATATCACTTCACTTTTCAGTCATAATTGTAAATACGACACAAGATGTGAAATATTTAACTGAATTTAATGTACAACATTACAATTAAATTATCAATTTCACAGCTGAAAAGAATGAAGTTAATTTTTACTTATTTTTTGCTGGCTTGATAATGCTGTACTTGTACATTTCTCTTATAGTGGTTCACTGTTTCCTTTATGTATAGAGATCTTGTACAAGCATGGTCTGAGTTTCTGGAAAAGTGATTTCTTTATAGTAGAAGTACACTCTACTATATCCACAACAAAGTTCCTGGTGTCATATTTTCCAGATACCTTTATTATACTGCTTTTTAGTTCTTATTATGAGTCACTTTAGTTACATTTCTTAGCAACCAGTTTTCATTAATTCCATAAGACATCCCACGGCACCAAAATAACCCTGTGGAGATAAGACAAATCTTCTATTATAAATCGTTATAATAAAACTGCAAAGATAGTATCACACTAACATAATTTCACATCAGATCAGTAAAAGGTTCATACTATCATTCCATGAGAATAAGTTTTGATGATTCAAGCTTCTTTGTGAGTAATAGTGAAATATGAAAAATTTACAATAGATTCTATATTGCATTGCAATGTGCTACACATACTATAAAACACAAAATCATGTTCTCTTCTTCCATGTTGTTTTTCTTTCCTGTAACACACTTAAATTTATAATTTCAGCAACCATCTTTAGACATTTTTAGACTATCTATGGACTAAATGACAATCAATTACGAATATTTGAATAATTAAAATAAATATCATGCAACAGTTATTATGATTATAATAATATAATGAAACTGGAGAATAAAATCTAAGTCAATAATATTTGTACATATATCAATAGTATTACCACCCAAAACAGTTTATGATATTGTAACCGAAAAAAACAACAAAAACAAACAATGAGGGAGAAAAACCTTGTTTTTATATTTTAATACACATGTAAAACCACATTGTGAGCCTGTATCAATATCAAAATAATATATAATTTTGATATTTAATGAGTACACCAACATTCGATTATACGTATGTATGAGCATTTTAATAACTTCTACTTTATTTCTTTTGTAATAATTTATGTATGTGGTTTTAACTACATTTACTGTTTACATGTACATATTTATTAGGCTTAAATTTCAAGATTCATATCCAGTTCGGGTTTTGTTGTTTTCCATTTCATTTTCAAATTTTGTAATTCAGAGTTTATTTCTTTTCTGAATTTTAGTTTATTCGATTATATTTCATTCTACCAATTTTATTTTCTGTTTGTAAGAACTGCAATGTATTTCAAAGTTTATTGTCCTTTATTTTATTTAATTAGTGTTGTATTCTCTTTAATTCGGTAACTAGGAATCCAATTCAAGACTAATACTTTGGAAATGGTTTGAATGGGTAACGAAGAAATCTTTATTACAAGTTTAACACAGTAACACAGTAATTTGTGGGTATGCCATGAGGATCATCCATCACTGATCTATTGATCTGGGAATTGACATCCAGTATCGAAAGGATATCTATCGCATGTAATCAACACCCCCAACCATGGCACAGGCCAGCAACATCCAAAGGCAATAACATCCCCAGAAGAAGAGAACGAGGGATGGTCTGGGATTACACTGGCATCATCCAAAGGCAATAACATCCCTGGAAGAAGAGAACGAGGGATAGTCAAGGATTGCACTGGAACAATTCCACGTACCATCACTGTGACCAAAGACACAGATGGAGCAATTGGGTGAGGAAGATAGACAACCCATACTAATGTGAGGATTTATATTGATTGGTTCACTCTAATCCAAAACCTCTACCATGGGAACTGACTTCCACACGAAGCTAGGATGAGGTCTCCCAATTGAAAGGATGAACTGCAATTGTGATGGCTCAACTCCAGTATTTATATAATGTGTATCAGGAGGCCATGTCATCCAGTAAGGTGATGGCTCAACTCCAGTGTTTGTATAAAAGGAAGTGAGAGGCCACGACATCTTATAAGGTGATAGTTCAACTCCCTTCATTATGTAAATAGTATCAAGAAGCCACAGCTCAACTCCTCTGGAGGTCACACCAACATAACACCACTGCCCTACTCTCAATTGAATGGTTTGAACCTTTTCCTTGTGGAACGCATTCAGGAGGGTGCTTCCATCATCAACCACATGAGAGGCTTGGAACCGGAAGGGGTAAGGTCTCCCATACTCCACTCAAGGAAAGGAGGGTGACAATGCGGTGAAGAACCCAGAGTAATGTCATCACCAGAGACAGGGCAATGGGAGACCACCAAACCATTATTTGAAAAGCAGACCATACTGAGTTATCCACTTGAGGCAAGGCAGGGATGGGCAGCAATCTCCTTCTGCTTTACCCATGTAGTCCATGGGTGCTACATTCTGGAACAGGCATGGTTATGAAGCAACTTATTGGGAGGTAATTAACCATCAAGCATGTTTACCTGTTGAACATAAGCAAACCTGAATACCAGAACTTTACAATACACTAGGTGTGATTTTTGTAATATGTGTACTGTAATTATGGTCAACATTTTATAGTAATGGTAATAATCTAAAATAGTGACACTGTTAAAAACGAATGTTTGCTGGTAAGTGGCTCAGAATGCTTAACATTTTCCAGTTCAGGTTCAACAATGTATGAAAAACAGCTAAAACTCAGAAGAATTATATTTTGCTTTGTAGCATTTTGGAACAATTGAATATTAAATGTTCTTAGAAATGTTACAAAAAGTATTTTAAAACTTTTCATTTTATAGTAATATGGTAAATATTTGATAAACAAATCTAAACACCAAATAACATTAGCCAAGCATTACTCAATTTTTTGACTTAATTAGGTTACAAATGTTCAAATATCATTCACATATTTTTGTGTTCAAAGAAAATAACACAATTTTTAATATTACTCAGTTTAACAAATACAAACTTAAAATACTTTGAATTTTTTACACAATAAATTTGAGTAAATTGACAAGACTAGAATAACATTAAAAGAACAGATGTGTACAAGGATATGCTAAAGAACCAGACAAACTACTTCTGCAGTAAAACAATAAAGCAGCTTTCATCAAGATAAGATTATAAATCATAAGCTACATTAAAACCATGCAATTATAAAATTTTCTGTTTGAGTTACACTATTAAGATTTTAACTAGGCCATCTTACAAATTTAAAGATTTTTGTTTATGACTTACATATACATTTTATGTTTTTTTGTCAATATTTTCAGGAAATGTCGCATGTTATCCAATTGCATTTGGCATATGCATTTCCTTGCTACAGCACAGACATACAGGTAGTGGACAAAAATATGGAAACACCTGAGTAAATGAGGGACAACAAGTATATGCAATGTAGGGGATACCACACAGGTGTGACTCTTCCATTAATTAGGCAGTTAGTATTCCAGCATGCATAGGGTCATGTATAAAAATGCTGGACAGGCCTGGTTGTCCATAATCATGGCTGCAAGAGGAGACCTCAATGACTTTGAACAAGGGGTGATTGTTGGGGAACATTTTGCAGGAGCTTCAATGACCAAGACAGCTCAACCTGCTGATGTTTCACAAGCAATGGTGTCTAAGGTGATGTCAGCATGGAACTCTGAGGGAAAGTCATCATCAGCAAAGGGCAACAGTGGGCAGAAGCACTAACTCCAGGATTGTGATGTCCAAGCATTAAATCGAAATGCAAGGCAAAACAGGCAAGAAACCACAGTTCAATTGACCTAATTTCAAACTGGGGCAAGAGCAGCCAATTTCATCAAAAACAGTCCACTGAGAACTCTACAGAATGGGATACCATAATTGGGTTTCAGTGCACAAACCACTCAACACACCAGGCAATGCACGGTTGCATGTCTAGTGGTGCAAAGAGCACAGGCTATGTACTACTGAGCAGTGGGGAAATGTGATATAGTCAGATGAATCATCCTTCACCACGTTCTTGACACATGGACGAGTGCATGTGTGGCACCAACCTAAAGAACTCTACAGCCCTGAGTGAAGGGTTCTGGTGGTTCCATAATGGTGTGGGGCACATTTTCCTGACATAGTTTGGGTGCACTCACACTTAGAAGGCAAAGTTGATGCCAATCGTTACTTAACAGTACTGAGTGATCATCTTCACCCCATATTACAGCATTTCTGTCCTGCAGAGAGGGGTGACTTTCAAGATGCCAATGCCCCCCATCCACAGAGTACAAATAGTCACCCAATGGTTTGAAGAGCATGACACTGATGTTATCCATATGTCATGGCCTTCTCAGTCACCAGATCTGGACCCAATCGAGCATGTAAGGGATATTCTGAAATGATGCTCGAGACAGTGTTTTCCACTTCCACCAACTTGGCGTGAGTTGATTAACTTTCTCATGGAAAAATAGTGTCGCATTCCTCCTACAGAATTGCAGACGCTAGATGTGGTGGCCCAACACCTTATTAAGTGACTTTACATTGATGTTTACATTTTTTTTGGCCACTACCTATAGTTGAGTCACATCAGGAATAACAGATTCTTCTTCCATAAACAAAAATATTGCAAGATTTCTATTTTACCAAATGTGCACAGTTTATTGGACTGACCTGCACAGGAGAAGGAATGTTGGCTATAATTCCACATTTAGTATGTGCATCTACATAATATTTGACGAGCTTTTAGTAATATGTACGTCTGTTGTACACAAAAATTAGATGTGTTACTAAATTATTTGTACTCAGATATATTTGTGAATTGCTGACATCAGTCTAACTTAGATTCTGACAAGTTGGAGTACAATGTGATATTCACGTGAACAATAAAAATATTTTTGTCCATAATACAGTTTGCATATTGCATTTGCATAACCTCTAGAACCTCCAAAATGCATATCTACAGTTTTTTACAGTATCCCTCTATCCTCTACCATGCACTCTCTCTCAATCATCAATGTAGGGTAAAATGAATAGTTGATAACTCTTGATGTCAAATACATAATACAATGTTGATTGCCACTATGTAAAATGTCTTTGCACATGCACTTCGATTCTCACCAGTGTACATAGGGTTAGTATATGCAACCAAAGAAAAGTACCTTGGGACTTGATGAAGATTTTATGTCACACTGATCTTTCAGTGTTTTTCATGTAAACATGAGTATAGAGTTAAAGTTCTAAAATGATAATTCCCTGTTAAAATGTATGTACTAATATAATCTTTTTGAACTGAATGTGTATTGTACACTCATTGCTAGCCTACCTATGAAAGACAAGATACCCACATAATTCATACTATTTTACTACCATTTCATAATATTAAGTAAAGTATTTAATAATCCTCAAAATTTTAAGCAAAAAACTTGGTGATAAATATTTTTTTCTTTCTACTAATTAGTGGCCAAGAGATTTTGCCACAAATGCAACCAACATCACTCAATTTGTATGTGTTTATAAACTCAGATGTAATATAAAATGCAATAAGTTTGATAACTGTTATCAAAATATTTTTGTGTTGTAGAAACTAAAATTTATAAATATACGAAAGAGTCTTACCTCATGTTCTAAGAAGAGAGCTTTTAGTGTACCTTTTGACCAAAAGTCCATTGCATAGGCCAAGAGTTTCATAGAAATAGGATTTACCCGAAGGAAATTTCCCACAAACACCACCTTTACTATACCCTGCAAATATAAACAGATATAATAGTTCTGTTAAAACTAGTAATGGACTAATCACAAATTTCATAAAGTAAAGGGGTGCCTAATATTACAATGGGCCACCTATATGCCAGTGGAGCAGAATGAAATATGTATAGTGTTTTGAGATGTCATTAATAATACACTCCACAACTATATGAAGCCTAACCTATTCTTTCAATTTGTCCTTGTCCAGAGTTACTAAAGAAAGATGGAACTCCTTGAAACCAGTAAAACTCAGTGGCAAGCGGTAAATCGAATTAGTGGGATTCATATTTATTTTTTATAACAATGAAATATTGCAACATTGGAACAAACATGTTTACTTAATATAAAAACTGTTAAAACCACTGAAAACTTACAGAATTACTAAATTGAAATTAACTAACATCAAAAACAAAACCTAACTGCTTGAATAAGGAATGTAAATTGTATAGCCTAACAATACTAGGACTTAGTAGATCTTTGATGAGATTATTTGGCTTATTTAGTAACTGTCTAAATGAATTAACTGTCTTCACCAAACACCATATGAAAATGAACACATTTTATTAGGTCGTCAAGAAATTAATGTCGCATTTTGGAACGCTTTCATTAACCACCCCTCCAAAAACGTACATCACGTATAATACTTAAATGAACCACCTAAACATAATGCAGCCTATATAATGTGTACAGTTTAGTATACTCTAATCCCTTAGTGATGGCACACGACAAGACACACATTCGGCATGTAATGCTGTTTGAATACAAGAAGAGAAACAACACCTTCTGTAGCCACAAAGAATATCAAAGAAGTTTATGGAAATGTTTTGAACGTTCGTAAGTGTCAACGATGGTTCAGCAAATTTCGTTCGGATGACATTAGCCTTAATAACTGTGACGGCAGGGGTTGACATGTTGGAATTGATATTGATGCTCTAAAGACGCTTGTTAAGTCTACCCCAAGGCAACACACTCGTGAAATGGCCCTGAAATTGCATGTCTCTCATGAAACAATACAGAAACATCTATGAATAATGGGAAAACTCCATAAAAAAGATACACAAAATATATTAAAAGTTATAGCATGAAAACTATTATGATCAACTTCGGGTCACGAACTCAGTTGATTTAAACAAGCCAGTAGCAAG